GGATCAACTTTGAATCCTGGTGGTTTTTCTTAGCCACAATCTCACAACACTGTCTATCTTACTTTCTAAGTGATTGTGGGTGTTAAGTTTTTTTCCCCTGTCAAATGCCACATATCTTGGGTTCCTATGATGAGTAGGGTTAGAATGGGCAGAAATGAGGTCAGAGCCCAAAGTACATTTGGCTATTCTGCCCCCCCCCCCCACAAGTTGCCTTTTTGACATATTATGCATTCATTACTAATATCATGCTCAAATAATATACGTGTCTAAATCTTCTGCAAAAGCTTTTCAGACTAGGTTGGTTATCTATTTTTGAATTACACATTTCTAAATAATAATTAGGGCTACTAAATCTTGAATGTTAAAGACTCTTTGTTGCCATCTAGCAGCTGTTTAGATTTTTTTTTGGCCCCAATCTGGTTGTCCTATATTCACCTATTTTCAATTTAAATTTTGGTTTGGTAGATGTAATATAATGAGAATATGCAGGACATTTCTTAAGTGCAAAATGAATCTGACATCCTCATTTCTTTACAATAAAATGGCAAATAATGTGCAACAGCAAGGCAAATTCTAGGTCAACCTTCTTACCTGCTTCAAGCAAGTCATCTGATCTTTATTTTATTTTTAGAAAGAATACATTTTAAAAATTCAGTTTAAAAGCAGACAGCATATGTTAAGAATCCACAGTCCTCATCTGCATCTGTGAGATTTATGTATTAGTTCATTTCTTAAATCACTTCATGTCTAGTTTAGCCTTTAATATGAAATTCAATTATATTTTAGAAACTAAATAGTTAAGATATAAATAAGAGTAAAATTTGAATATATGTGTTTCTTTTTTCTGGTGGCTAACTTTAAAAAAAAAACATGTTGAGTGTGATTCACATGTTTAATTCTTCCTGTAGAAACCACTTAAAATAGGTAAGCCAGCTGCTTTTGTAATGTAATAGGGAGTTCATCACATGTCATTTCTTTTTAACAAAAAATTTCCATGGCAGCAAACATTTCAGATTTTTATTTTTGGTTATCTTTTTAAGCAATTCATTTCTAAGTGGAAGGCCTGATCAATATGGGAACTTAAACCTGACCACTCCTACAGAGAACAAATTGGAAGTTTGAAAAACTGCTTAATCTTCTCCAAGGCTCTTTGTAACATTTTTCTGCCCAACTACTGGTAGTTTTTATTTTTCACTCCTAAATTAAGGGCGAATAATCCTTCTTTCTCTCTTTGATTCTCTCTTGGTGGGAGGAAAGGAAGTGAGACTTCCCCTCCCCCAGCCATTCTGCTCCAAACAGTTGGTTCTCTACTGTGAGAAACAAGTTATAAGCTTAGACAACAGCTGGTGGGGGATCTTCATTGCTTCTCCCTTCCCTCTGGTGATCTTTTAATAGTTCCCTGGGAGAGAAAGTCAATGAGGATAGATGTAGTATCTATAAATGTGGGTGGATGACAGATGCAAGCCTTATCTGAAAGTTTTATCTATCCTGAATCAAACAGACCACTGTCTTTATTTACTCTGCAGCCTATTTTAAAACATGCACACTTTCTTTTTGTATTGCTTTGAATTTTCTGAATGAATTCTGCTAATATCCTTATTTTTAGGTATGAAAAATAGTATCATTATTCTTACCTTTAGTGGCTTCCCAACACACAAAGGAATCAATTAATGACAAGCCTTGTTTGTAATAAAATGTGGTTAAATCTAACCAATCAGCATCCAATGTACTAATCACAGGTCCTTTCCGTGACACTTTCAGAGACAAAATACCATCATGATAGGTCCAACTGACGGAATCATCTTCAAAGACATTGAAAACAGTATATAGTTTGGTGTCTGAGAAAAAAAATGAAATACGTATTAGGATAATATGCATTGTAAAAATGTCAATGGGAAGATTATATTTACATTTTTTTTAAATCTACAAAATTACATTTTGCATTAAGAATACAAATTAAAATCAATATGGATAAAAGTCCAGCATGACATTTGAATACTATTTTGATTCAAATTGATATATTGATCCTTCAATATGTAAACTAAAATATTGAAAAATCCTACCATGAAAGCCAGCTTAATTCAGGTGGTTAAATCCAAAAACTTCATTTTTTCTATACAGAACAGTTTCCTCTTTCAATTTACGTTGTGATTTGCAAAATGTTTTTTCTTCTCTTTTTGTATTGTATTGACAGTGGTAGTTTTCTCTAAGTCAGGGGTCCCCAACCGCCGGTCCGCGGACCGGTACCGGGCCGCGGAACAAGCCTTACCGGGCCGCTGGTTGCTGGGCGCCGCCATCTTTTTTTTGGTAAAAAAGCGCTTCTGGTGAGCTTTTCCGGGTAGAAAGCTCACCGGAAGCGCCTTTTCGTCATAAAAAGATGGCGGCGCCCAGTTGACGCCGGTACCGGGCCGCGGCGCCCAGCTGATGTCGGAACCGGGCCGCGGCGTCGAAAAGGTTGGGGATCCCTGCTCTAAGTTACTCAGTTAAATATACTTTATTTTGATCAATAATCAGCAATTAAACAAAAACATAATGAAAAATAATAGTATTCAGTTTTGCTTTACCTATTGCCTCATTTTCACTGTGGTTACAGACATTTAATTACAATATGGGAGATCCATGGATTCATGTATTTGTTATTATTTACTAAATAATCTGAAAGAAGCAGGTTTACATAATAATCAGTATTTCCTGAGCATTGCTGCAACAGAAGCTAGATATAATTCTTTTGAGTAACCCACGGAAGTTATAATATAATGGTATTAACATGTGATATACAGTTTCTATCTGCTCAGGTTTGTAGGAGCAGTGTGGTGGGCTTGTGGGGTTTTAGAGGAAAGGATGCTGTATCTGCCTTAAAAAAGTTTTTCACAACTCGGGAAAGGTAAGAATCTTTAAATATTTGTGTGATTCCTAAGTATCCTTGGCAACCTAAGTTCTGGGCTCTATGAAAATTATTAACTTTCATTTGATGCAAAATACCATTTAACCCAGGCGTGTCAAACTTGCAGCCCGTTGGCCAGATGCGTTACATGCTGGCCCCGCCCCCACCCAGTTTAGTGAAGGGAGAAAAAGTTCCAATATGTCATGTGATGCCACCATGACGATGCGAGTTTGACACCCCTGATTCAGAGGTGGCTTGCTGCCGGTTCGTACTAGTTCTGGTGGACCAGTACCGTATTTGCCGGCGTATAAGACGACCCGGCGTATAAGACGACCCCCCACCACCACTGGAAACACCCTCCAGAAATCCCCGGGGCTGCAGCGGCAGGGCAGAGTGCCAGGGGCCGTGGGAAGAGCAGGAAGGCTGCAGCCTCGGGCGGAGCAAGGCGAGCGGGATGAAGCGGAAGCGACGCAGGGGATCCAGGAAGCCAGAGGCGCCTTCGCTGCGTCCAACAAGCATCCGAAAGCCGGCAGTGGATATACCGGCGTATAAGACGACCCCCCCACTTGGAGGCATGTTTTTCAGGGCAAAAAAGTCGTCTTATACGCCGGCAAATACGGTAATTAAGATTAGATGCAGTTCGGTGAACCTGCAAATCCCACCACTGGCTGGCCCCTCCCATTTTTCAGCCTGTATTTTGGGTCGCTTTTCAGGCTGTTTTCTGGGCTGTTTTCATGCCGTTTTTGGGCCATTTTCAGGGCCAAAAATGGCCTGAAAACAGCCCCCAAATGCCCCACAAATGGCCTGAAAACGGCCCAAAAACATGGTGGGGGCCAACCAGTGGTGAGATTAGCCCCAACTGGCTGAATCCTATCTCTTCCTTTGAGACGAGTGGCCGGGAGGCAGGACTCGGTGTGATGAGTGATATCACCCACCCAGTCGTATAACCAACTAGCCATGCCTACCCAGCCACATAACCGATTGTTTAAAAATTTGCAGCCCACCACTGCCCTGATTTAACTTTTGAGAGAGTATTTGTTCAGCCAGTTTTTATCCTAAAGACAGTAAGAATGTAGAGGAAAATGCATATGATGTTATGATTTGTTCTGTTCTAGTTTTCCATACTGAAAATAATTGTTTAAAAAAGTAGCGGCAATACATTTTTCAATTTGGATAGTTTGTCTTTGCTGGAAAAAAAGGACAGATATATGAGAAAGGTTTAAGAATACTTCCAAATATTGTTGTATCGTATGATAACCCTTCTCTTAAGCTATTTTTTAAAATGGATTCTTCTATAGGAGGAGTATCAAACTTAAGGCCTGGGGGCTGGATCCAGCCCATGAGGTGCTTAGATCTGGCCCATGGGGCCACCCTGGAAACAGTGTAGGACCATGGTGCCAGTGAAAACAGAGCTTGGGAGCTCCATTTTTGCTACCAGAGGGTTGCAGGAGGCCATCGCAGCCGAAAGCAGAGCATGGGAGCCCATTTTCACTGGCAGAGCGCTCAGGCCACCACAGGCATCTCTGACACAAGTGATGTCATGCTGACCATGCCCTGGCCACATGCACCCAGCCCTCCGAGGTCAAACACAACCCTGATGCGGCCCTCAATGAAATTGAGTTTGACACTCCTGTTCTATAGTTTGAGATAGCTACATAGTGCATGTAGACTATCTAGATGATGTGTTAAATACCTTCCTTTTCCTTTAATTTATTTGGGCTGGGACAGCCTTCTCTTCCATATTGAAAATCAGTCTTTTGTGCTGGCCTGCCGTCCGGCTGAATTTCTTCCTGTATTCCACTCTCAGAAGATTGACCACTCAGTGTCCCTTCATTCCAGGTTCTAACATTTTCCTCTGAATCATGGCTTCTCTGCTCTCTGTTCTTTCTGCATAGTATCGAGTCAGACTCCATATCTTCACCCAGGTTTGTGCCATTGCAGATTTTAGATTGAGAGCAAGACTGGGTTATAAACCCAACAAACTTCATTCCTCTTTTAGCAGCATCATTGACCTATATTTTTCAAAAAGACAGTACTAATGCAATGAAGTGGATATGCATTGTTCACTAAGGAATATAGCTATGTATGATGGTTTTACATTGATACACAGAAAGAAACATTCATTGATATATGAAAATAGCATATCTATTTTACTATGAATATTATGAAACAGACACCTATTCAAGAATTTCAACTAACTTTAAAATATGTTAGTTTTAGTTTTACAAAGAGCACAACATATGGAGTCTTTCTTTGTCTATTTGTATCAGGGTAAAAATTAATGATATATAAAGGGATTTTTTAATGTTATTTATTTGTGCCTTTAAGTCAGTGTTGAATCTTGACAAGAGCCTGCATAAATCCCCAAGATTTCAGAATTGGTTTGACATTCTCTCTTTCTTAAACAGAAGGTCTGGCCCAAGGTTACCCAACTAGCTTCTTGCCTAAGGTCTAGAATTTACAGTCTCCCAGTTTCTAGCCTGATGCCTTAACTCCTCCTTAAAACATATTTGAAGTCTTAAACAATAATGAAAAAGTTTAATAAATGCTGATGTTCTGGAATTATTTGTTTACGTATATTCCATCTTTATTATTTTTAGAAATAATTCAAGGTGGCAAACATACCTAATACTCCTTACTCTTTCTATTTTACCTACAACAATAATTATGTGAGGTGAGTTGGGGTGTAAGGGAGTGACTGGCCCACTAGCATTCACAATCTTCTGGCTTCTAGCCTGATGCCTTATCCACCAGACCAAACTGGTCATTCAACATTTCATTCAATATGATATTCAACATTTCATCAGGGAATATCAGCATGGAATATTTCAAGGCTGCATTCTGTAAGCTTTACTGAACAGTTGAGTGACTCAGTTATCATACAGAACTAAATATATGATTCAGTAGAATATTTCATCAATAAGGCCCTGGAATTCTTCTGAAAAAAACTAGCATATTTTTCTCTTCTAAATTTAGAAATCAGGTTTCTGTGAAAAGCAGGCCAACACAAACATATCAATGTGAAAACATTTTCCATAGGTGTTGCCACCACTATTTTGTTCAACTCCTATCCATCGACTCAACAGAATCAGCAGGGAACTGGAAGAGCTATGGGAGAATTCAATTTCAGGAGTCTATAAATGGGATGTAGCATGATTTGTAGTGTTTTCCTCTGCTGCAGTCAAATGATTCTCAGTGTTTGCTGATTACATAAAAGTTAAAACATTTGCGTGAATTTAAAACCAATCAAAACAGTCATAACAATAAAGCCAGTCAACAGGTTAGCTCTGCATAAAAACAAGAGGGAACACAAAGATACCCCCACACACAAAAACTAAAAAGCAAGGTGGCATCAGGGAAAGACTCATAGAAAGCCCCTCCAAAGCAACCCAGGTTTTAAACTTCTAGAAAACTGACAAGGAGAGGGCCAACCTGATGTCTTCAGGACGTTGTTTTATAGTATTGGTGATGCCACAGAACTGCAGTCATGCCCATTCAACCTCTTGGAAATGTGGAATTATGAGAAATGATTGAAACAAATGATCCAGAAAGTAGTTATGTTAACATCAAGACAACATTTGGTAGTAGGTATGTATGGTTTGAACAGTATCTGAGTTCTCAGAGTAGGATTATAATTAAAGGAAAAGTAAAATATTCCATAAAGATGGTCATACCTTCTCTAACACTTCCTTAACTGCCTCATTTGTTAGTTTTTCATATGTTAAAGGACACTGCTCAATCACAAGCCTGGGTTGTCTTGTTTCTCTTATTGGTGGATTCTTGTGGCTAAAACACAGAAAGAAAGCAACCTTTGTTGAAATTTGACCTATCTTGTACAAAATACTAGCAAGCAAAACTTTTTCATTCCCAAAAATTATAAATTGAATGTTGGCAACTCTGTTTGGGTAGCTCTTCTGGTATGCTTGATTTTTTTGCCCAAACATGTTGCTTAGAACAGAATTGAATTACCCATTGAGCAACCTTATTTATATTTCATTTAAATACTAAGTATTTTTGTGCTGAAATATATAAGTATAAATATATGAGTTAAAGTATAAATATATGAGTATAAATAAGTATAAATATATGAGTTAAAAAGCAAACTTCCTTCAGATATCTAAGAGATTTCATTGATGGCATTTTAACTATAAAGCAGACCTGATGAGGGTAAGATCTGAGAGGCTTAATTTGAGTTACAAATTACTTTTTTTGTAATGGCTCTGGGGTCAGGGCTGCATATATCTGCAAGGTATGCAGGAATTTGGGCATATTCCTAAGAGTTAGAGTTTGGAGGTTTTGGTGCAAGCTGTTTAGTTAAGTTGGGAATAGGACAGAGCTATGGCAGCCAGTTCTTAGACACCATGAAGCAGAACCTCCCCTAGTTAGCCCAAATTAAGCAGAGTACAGGAGAGGTAGGCCTGTCTGATGGCCTGGATGTTATTAGAGGTCTTTGACTGCCAAGTCACCCAGAGCTTCAGGAGAGAAATTTGGAGTGGCCTCCCTAGCTGAATAGCTTGAATCTGGAGCTGGGTTTGTGGTGGAATACATTAGGCTTATTGTTTTGGGAGACTTGACTCTGTCATCCCTGAGTGTGAATTTAGAAGCAACTCAGAAGTTCATGGCCACCAAGCCAACCATGGACTTGACTAAGTTATCTCTGGCCTGACTCACGTGTGTGGGAGGGAAGGTGTTACATATTATAACTGGTTTTTATTTCAGAGCAGTGGCAACAGAGGGATATTACAACCACTGCCTTGTCTTGAACAGATCACTCTCTGTTGACCTTTGGGCAGCGAGGTAGGACCTATTTGATTGGTCCACTCCAAGCATCTGATGGATTCCATCCAAAAGGAAACTTGGGCTTATTCTTAGGATTCTGGTTTTACTAAGGCCATTACCACTTGTAACAAGAGGATGACAACAGTCTTGGATTCAGTAGGACCTTGCAGTTTTGTTATGCTTGTGGAGCTTGGAGAATTCTCATTAGTTTTCAGAGGAACCCCAGAAGATGAAGCAACATAAAAGATTTCTAGAGTTCTGCTGGGTGAATGTGAAAAGTGAGTCCAACTGAGATAATGAATTGGATAATTTCTATCTATCCTTCAACATTCCTTTTTTAAAAAACAGTACTTGGCTTGCAGCTCCAGACAAAATAGTTGCAAAAAGGATGTTATTGTTTGAGGTTCACCAAAATTACACAAGCAATAAATGACTGCCTACTAAGTCAGAAGATAACTGTTTTCTAACAACATTAGATTTAAAGATTTGAAGCTTAGGATATTTCAGCTTAAGAAGCTAACAGTAAGGAAATGTTATTGTCTCTTCCCACATTGTTTATGAAGTGCAGATAGCTGTGGAGAGGACAGGACTGGAAACTTTTGTCCTGTGAAATGCTTTAAGTTAAAGTTTTAAGGTTTAAATGGAGCTTAGTATATTCATTATCTTGAGCTTTAACAGCACTTAACTTCTTACTCATATTTAGATAATGCAACACACACAAATACAGTTTTTAGCTATGTTGAAATATTTCAGAAGAGCTGAACCTGAAGGAGTTCAATAAATTAAAATTAATTGTAAGTAGCTCTCAAGAAGAATACATTTAGAACTAATACCTGTGACCTTTTTGCTATATGTCATGGTATTAATATTAATATGCTTAGTTTTAGTGTTACAAATATATATTAAGGTCATGTAGAGCATTTACTTTCAGTGTTTGTTCTGTCTCTGGAATAGTTTTCCCCTATTTAAGAATGATACAGTTCTTACGCTGAGAAAATATATGAGGAGAAAGGAACATTGTGTATGTTTGCTACCTTGAGTTACTTATAAAAGTAATAAAATACATTACAGAGGATGGAGAGGATGTTATTTTTGCAAGGCTCTTGATTTGGACAGCTATTTGCATGGGGAATAAACTAAGTCATGCAGTTTAATGTAAGATCTAATTTGGTTCTAAGATGCAACAAAGTTATGATGTGGTTGTCATAATAATAGTTTTACTCTTAAAGGGAATAATTTTTTCAGTGAAGGAACTCCACTCAGTAGAAAAGCTTACTGGAATTTAAGCATTTCTTGTATGGCATACCTGAATTTGAGACGCACAAGCACAACTCGATAGATGTGACTTGCTGGAAAATGCCTTCTTTGTCCAGATGACAGTAAAACAGGATGAATAGCTCCTACCACATATCCTTTATTATAATACTCCTCCACGTTCTTTGCGATATCCAAAACAGAGCATATTTTGATAATTTCTGGATTTGAGACAACTAAAAGAATTAAAACAACAGAAACTCTTGATATAGGATTCAAACTTTTGATAAAGATTAAATTGTACAGTGATACATTATCACTAGAGGGGTCCACTATTCACTGTTCACTAGCTTATTCACTTCAGATATTTACTAAGACTACCCGTCTCCCAAAGTCCTGCTGCTTTGCCTCATCATAGTGGTAGGAGTAGTGCTCCTGGGAAGGATATGTGAGAAGTCAGGACTGTATGGTAAGAGTATATACACCTAGCAGGGTCAAACAAGGTGTGAAAGTCATTCCACATTCTGAAGAAGAGAAGCCAAATCCAAGAAAAATAAATATTTCAGAAAAGAACTTAACAAATAATTTCAGAGAGCTGTTGTAAGAGAAAAGAAGCAATATTTCAATCAATCAATCAATAAAGTAGGAAAAACTACTTTTAAAAACAGCATTGCATGTTGCTTCTGTTACTATAACAGTAACAGAATATAGGGTGTTGAACCGTTAATAGCTATAACAACAGGTACAAGGGAGAAATTTAACCAAATTATATTTGTTGTGGTTGTAATACTGACACAGGGTTATTAAATTATTAAGTGATTTTTAAAACAAAAGTTTATATCGCAATAGATTTTGGCCTATACATATTGCACATTTGAATTAAGTATTTGTTTCTATTATACACACTCAAGGAGTTTGAATAGACACCGGAGTCTTACCACATATAAAGTTCTGCTTTTGACACCAGTCACTGTCCAACTATTTTCAAGCCTTGTAATAAGGTGGTACAGGAACTTGTTTTTTAAAAAAATTAAAACTAGAAAGAAAGCATACTCGGATTCTGTGCTCATTAGGAAGCTAGCTTGAATCTACAAATGGCAGAATGTTTTCACCTCTCAGTATAAGCAATAATGTATAGCAAGGCTTCAAGGTATTCTAAAATAAAGAAGCTGGCAAATAATTACAGTCTTGTTCAGCGTTCCCACCACCATCAATAAAATTTGAAGGAAAGAAAAAAAAAGCAACCCCATCAATTGGTTTTAGTCTCATGCTGTTTCTGGAGTCTTCATACTTAACCTTACCATCTTGGGTTCTGATACTGGATTTCATTGCTTCCATGTTTGCTCCAACAGGAGTCTCCATTGAGTTTTGACACATTCCAGTAGTAGAAGGACAAGATTGGATCCAATGGCCTATCTTATTATGGTATGTGATAGAAAAATGGCAATGTCATTTCCAGTCGTGGGATTCAATTTTTTTTATTACCGGTTCTGTGGGCGTGGCTTGGTGGGCATGGCAAGGGAAGGATACTGTAAAATCTCCAGTCAGAGGTGGTATCTGCCGGTTCTCCAAACTACTCAAAATTTCCGCTACTGGTTCTCCAGAACTGGTCAGAACCTGCTGAATACCACCTCTGGTCATCTCTCTCTCCCTCTCCTTCTCCCTCTCCCTCTCTCTCTCTCATCTTTCACTTCAGTTACCAAAGTAACTGCATAAAATTGCTAAGAGTTGTTTGAATTATTACTGGTAGCAATATGATTATTTTTTTTTACAAGAAATAATCTCCATCAAAGTATTTTTACAATCCTGAAAATATACATATTACTCTATTACCCATTAAAATAAAACAAATAGTGTGCTTTAAATCAAAACCTAAATGCACAATTATAACTAATATAGTTGCATTTATTTTTAGGCAATCAAACATGAAACGCAGAGTATTTGTTACTATTTTCCCCTCATAATGAACAAAAGCTGTTTCATCCAAAACCAAATAAAATTTTTAAAAAGCTAACATATAGTTTAGTGGTAATGTATAATGCTTCGTTATGCATTCTATACATTATAAAATCATTCTATTTAAATTGTAACTATGACCATGTTGACTCCGACTGTAATATGCAAGATGTGTTTGGGATTAATTTCTACTAAGTTCTACACAAAAAAGCTGGTATACAGAACCAAATAACTTTATGAAAACTTCTTCAAAAAAATTCCCAGAAGCAACTTTTGCAGAACAGAGCTGCCTGTTCTTAGTGGGAAGCCATCTGGGACTGTTTGTTTATTTTTTCAACTTTCTGGGACGTGGAGTTGGTTAGAAACAAGACACCCTACAAAAGAAGGAAGTAGCCCTACAGGGTAGTCTGTTTCTAACCACGCAAATGTCCATGAACAGTATAAAACAAAGAACAGTACATTCAACTATATTTGTATTTGATATCTTCAATGTTCCACTTACTATTAATAGTTCCAGCTTAACCCTGAAGATCTTGAAAAGTGATATATTTCTTCAGAGATACCCAGGTATGACAAGCACAGGCAGAGAAATGTTTCAATAGTCATTTCTAAATCCTTAATCTAATAAGCAGTAGGGGAAAATGAATCAAACTTTATTTTCCTGTATCTAACCATAAGAAACCACACTTGGCTTATAAAGTATGTTCTTCTGAAAGGTTAAAACACTTCATACATACCTTCTAAAGTAAAATCTAGCAATATGTACTCATAAGCAGAGTCTGATTTTGTTTCCACTTGTGGTCTCTTCAGCGTTGAAAATATTTTTCCAGGACTGCTGTCATCTGGATCTTCTAGCTTTCTCAGCCCACACCCCATCTTAAGACCTGGCGGATGGGTATAAAGGGAAAAGTAAGGAAAGGAAGCGAGAGTAGAAACTCTGCAGGCACAAAATCGGCTTCTCTCACAAGACGGGTTAAAAACAAGCAATCTGTTAGATCCTTTTTATTGCTGTTAACCAAACATCCAAACAGAAATCAATATTTTGCTCCCAAGTTAGAAAAAATAGGAATTTTCTCTCCATATTTACAGCAAGGCACAACTGTTCTTAAGGATACCAGGCAACAAATTCAGCAGATTACTCCTCTTTCAAAAAATACAAACTGCTACAAAGTGAGCAGAGATTTTCCATGCCACGTCAATTTACAGCCAGCCCCCTAATAGTGTTCTGTTGCAGAGGGCACCAATGAGTGCTTTGTCTGTCTTTCTTGGCTGGCTGATAATGATGATACAAAAAGAAAAGAAAAGAAACAAAATAAAGTTAGGGCAAAACTTTAGCATGATTACTTACAGTCAGAAGATCTGCTTCAGTGCAATGGCCGGTAAAAGAAATAAAATGGGCAAATGAAGTCAAAGAAATAGGATAGAACGCTTTACCATGGTCTGAGAAGAAAATCATTTCCAGAAAGGAAGTCAACTTTAAAAGGAAATTGCTTCTGGCATCTTAAAGGGGAGGAAAATAAATGAAAAGCAGTTCAACTCTATTTTAAATGTGAGCGTTAGTTGCTTACTTCCTTTTCTTAGAGCAGCTGGAAAACTACACATCATGCTAGTAAAGCAAAAAGATTTGATTAGAGCAGTGAAATCACACAATGTTTGGAATGATTAAAATGCCTTCCTGAAAACAATCAGTGGAACAATTATCAGGGTATTTTTGTAAAAACAATCTTTTAAAATTTATCTGACTTTCCTAAAATAGTAGCTGAAGCATTGGGTTTCTAACTATTACACGTTTACTTGTGTTCATTTTAAAATAGATGCAGTAATCAAGTTAAGCCAGGATGTGATAAAAGATTTGTGCAACCTCAGAAGATGGCAGCTGGACTGTCCTATAAAAGATCACAACCATGAAAACCAACAAATCTGTTGTTCATCTTAAAAATCTTTTTTTGAAAAGTATTAACATGATTCACACTATTCTGTTTTTTTCCCTTTGGGCATCCCCTAGTGAGATATTTTGGAACACTGCACTTTCAATTTCAGAAACATTTTCCCCTAAAAAAAGACAGTTAAAAATCTTTATTAGAAATGATGCTGCTTTGCATGAATTCCATGTGTTGGAATTCAGCAAATTCCCAATAGCAATATTGATAATTCATATTAGATAATGTGATATAACTGAATTCATTTTTATAATGATTATACATTTTTGATTTCCTGAATCTGACAGAACTTGAGTTTTTACAGGAATATTTTATCTCAGAGCAGCCTTGTACTTAATATAAATAAATAACTATTTATTTCCAAAACTGCTTCAATTAGAACAGACTTGTATGTTATAAAATGTTTATATACTTTATTTATCCATAATTTATCCATAATTTAGAAACTAACAGAAGAAAAAAGGAAAGTTTTTTTTATTAATAATAATATAAAAAACATTTGTCTACCACAGGTTTTTGGAAAGGACTTGATAGGTGGATAAAAACGCCAGATCCAGTCTAAACATATGGTTGACTATAATAAGCTGAAGAAAGAGTGTGCCATCTAGTTAATTGCCACAAGAAGATTGCACAGACTGACTACAAGTAATGGCATGATAAAGTGACAACAATGGTGCTTGGAAGATCTGCAAGAAATATTATTTGCCTGCAAGCAAGAACTGATAAGACTACAAAATAGACAAAGTAATAGGGGAAAAAAATTCAAAGAGCTTTGGGACTTTAGAATTCATAAAGACAAGCAGGGGTGGGATTCTACCAGTTCACACCTATTCATTAGAACTGGTTGTTAACATTCTAAGCAGTTCGGAGAACCGGTTGTTAGAAGAAATTACTGGCCTAATCCTGTAAGCAAGGCAGGAAGGAAACATTCTGGTGTTGCTTACAGAAACTGCCTCTCCGTTAACCCTTATTACATTCTTGGCAGGGCTAGACTTCCTCTCTCAGGAACTTCTCTGGAGTTTTTTTCCCCTCCTTTGCTGGTACTTTGCTTGTGTGGAGTGACCATTCAAAGTTACAATGGCACTGAAAAAAGTGACTTATGATCATTTTTCACACTTACAACTGTTGCAACATCCCTAAAGTCACGAGAGGCCAGGAGAGGAGATGCGTGAGTGATATTGAGTTGGCCACGCCCAACCAATAACATGATCACCAAGCCACATCCACCCAGTCACATGACCACCAAGCCATGCCCACCAACTAAGCCATGCCCACAGAACTGGTTGTTCAAAAATTTGAATCCCACCCCTGAAGACAAGCACCTGATATATATCGGCTCAGACTTAACAATTGTTGATAAGAAAGACAAAAAGGTCTGGATTGTGAACATGATAGTAGCTGGAGATAGCAGAGGAGGAGAGAACTGAAGAAAATCACAAATATAAAGACCTGCAAATAGAATGACTGTGGCAAAAGAGTGCAGAGATATTTCCAATAGCTCCAATAGAGAAAGGTGCATTCTCAAATATCTGGAGCAGCAGCTGAACACCATTGGTGTTGAAAAAATAAGTATCAATCAATTGCAAAAAAAGCAGCTTTACTTGAAACAGCTTACATCTTGCGATGACACCTTTAACACCATCAAACAACATCTGCCTATGCCAGGAAAGGGCTGGATAAGTAGATAAAAATGCCAAATCAAGTCTAAACATCTGGCTGACTGCAACGAAACTTAAAAATAAGGTGGTGATGTCATGGTGAAAGGGGGAAGGGAGAATGGACTCTGTCCCTGGACCCCATTTTTTCACTTTTGGGGACCCTTTGGGGGCACAAAAAGCCTGGAGAGCTGAGTGCAATAGAGGGGAAGCCTGGACGACAGTGAGGTGAAAGGCAATCACCCACCACCACGAAAAGAAATTCCTGAAACCCATAGTGAAAGTGCCTGTCATACCAGTATGGCAGACCCAAGGGCATGACTAAGTTACAGATGAGAAGGAAGTGAAGATATTGTTAACAGACTGTGTCATTAAAACTGATCAGAAAATCCCAGAGGCGCAATGGTGGTGATTTGCCAAAAAGAAAGTGGGTCCTGAATACCTACTGAAAAAGGAAGCTCCGGCAGGTGGGGAATCCCCAAAGAACGGGCGTCGATTTGGCGGAATGAGCAGTGAATCAGCAAGTTAGTACAGACTGAAAGGACTGAGAAAAGAGAGGACACAGAACTTTGAGTGAAGGATTCCAGAAGGAGGTGAGGAAAGACAAGTGGACATGCAGAGGAGGATTCAGAGGGAAGAAAGTGGATTCAAAGGATTTAAAGGAGAAATCTGGAGAGTGGAGGCAGCGAAACAGAAAGGAAGGAAGCAGCAAAAACAGTGAGGTGGTGAGAAGAGGAACAACTGGACGGACATCTGATTGAAGGAGACGGCGAGAGCTGTGAGGTGCAGAGAGGGGAACGATCAGACGGACACTAGATTGAAGGAGAGCAGAAGAAAAAAGCAGAGAATCCAGTTGGAAAGCATGAAAAGTAAGAGGGAGAAAAAAACCAGAAAGTGACAGATAGGAAGTGGAAAGTAAAGTTGAGATTTGAAGAAAGAGGAGAAAGGAATGCCAGAGACAACAGAACGGACTGAAGGACAGTTTTTTATGGTGCTGACAGTGAAGTGATTAAATAAAAATATCTGGACTACTAGTTAAGCTTAAATTAAGAAAAGCCAAGAAACCTTGGAAAAAATATAGACTTACAGATACTGTTTGATTATACATATAAAAATTACATATTTACAGTAACATATATTTATTACTATAAATACAGTTATATATTTGTATTGAAATATTTATACTATTCCTAAACTCATTTATAATTAGGTTCTTAATTGTAATCATATTCTCTCTCTCTTCGTAAAAGAAATTTTGATTAATTAGATTGTTATATTGATAAGAGTTTTATTACTATTTCACCTATTGAAACATTAATGAATTATGTTGAGGTAATTTCCTGTTAGGAGAATGAGCACATACAGGGAGACGTAGTGAGAGAAGTGTTTGAATAATACACACACAGCACACAGATACACTGTACAGTAAATGTAGGTTTTTTTACTTTCAATAAAGGTTTAAGCAAAGTTCAAAATAAGCAGTCCAAAGTCATTCACAGGTAAAATCAGTCAGTTTTCAGTCCAGGGATAATCCAGTAACAAAGTCCAGTGTCAAAAACAGTTCAGTATCAGACTTATATCAAATCCATGAATAACAGTCAAGTAGAAGGAACGGCAATACTCTCCAACAGAAGGAAAAAAGAGACTCACACACTCACTGAGACTCTTTTGAGACTAAGACTAAACAGCCCAGGTTTCTGGCTCCATCTTATGGCCGTTTGAGAAACTACACCCAATTACCATTTTTGCATTTTGTTAAATATGCAGTATTAAAATGTCTATCTTGGTTTATATATTGTCCAACCCAAATAGCTGTTAGGTAGCTTACATTCCTAACATTCTCCCCTTTTGGGTAAGACAATATATACAACCATACATTCTAAGTCTATAATCCTCATAGCATGCTTTATGCTTTATAGAGCCTTGGGTCTTTGTAAAATGATCTGCTATATTGTTTTCTGACATACAGTATTCTAGCTTAATCATTTTACTCTGCACACATTGTCTCACATTTAAATATCTTAAATCTGTGTGTTTTGTTTTTGTTTTAACAGGAATATTTGAAGCCATCTGTATTGCTGATTGGTTATCTTCATAAACAACAATAGAATCTGTTACATCAATTCCCATATCAATTAATAATTGCTTATACAAAACTAAATCTGTTCATAGTAAAGACAAACATGAGAATTCAGCCTCCATTGTTGACAAACTTAGATGTTTCTGTCTAATAGATTTCCATCCAATCAACGCTTTTCCCAATAATACTACAGTACCCGATGTAGATTTTTGTGTATTTATGTCTGTAGCAAAACTTGCATCAGCATATGCAGTTAAACTCAGTTCATCTTTAGGCTCCAAATACAATGCATAATGCATTGTTTGTTTCAGATATCTTAACACACGTTTAGTAGCTTGCCAGTGCCTTTCAGTTGGCTCAGCATTAAATCTCGCTAATGGATTAACACTGTATAGCTGGCCTTGATCAATTACTGAGATAAGATAAACTACCAATGAAAGACTGATAAATGTTCTTATCAAAAATAGGACTTTGAACATCACTATGGCTAAACTCCTGACTCATCGGTGTTTTAGTCGGCTTACAAAGTTCCATTTTAGTAATTGGTTAATTTTATCTGCCTGTGAGATCTTGTATCCTCCCCTAGTTCTATCTATCTTTAAACCAAGATATTGTTTGATTTCTCCTAACTGTTTTATCTTAAATTTC